TAGCGTATCACTTTTCTGAGCATGCCAGTTGAATGATTGCTGTTTAGGTGGAGTTAAAGCAGCAATGAAAGAATGATTGCACTTCTACTGGTGAGATTTTTAGCTACTGATTTCCTATTTTATCTGTATTTGTGTGTGGGGTTTTTTTCAGTTTATTTGTAATGCTGCTATGGAACTCTCACAGATTCATTATGAAAGAATGCCATTAGACAGAGATGTCAACCCAACATCAGCAAGAACTAGCTCTTGAATCGTTCTTAGAGTCAGCTTCTGTTAGAACAAAAAATGAGCGGCCACTTGATGACAAAATATATTTGTTTTTTTGCTACAGGATGATAATTGGCTCAGTACGGAAGCTAATACGATTTTATTTGGGGATTGGTTTGTAAAGAGATTACATTTTAAGAAATCCTCAGGCATTGAGGCTTTTGTAGCTGTATTTATTTAATCAGCTGTGGGCACTTAAAACTTCACAGCAGTAAGCCAGGTTAGAACATGGATATTCTTGCTCCAGCAGAACGTGACTGGAAAAGAAAGTGTTTTGTGGGGTTAGTGGGATGGAGATTATACCAAGAAGAAGAAACTTATCTCCAGATGGTCTGGAGCAACGATGTCTCAGTTAAGCTTTTCAAGCTGCAAATGTTAGTGAGCAGCTCCCATTCAAACCAGTACTATGCTGACTCAGGCAGGTTGAGTTGTTTGCCTGCACAACAAAGTGATGCAAAAGGTCAATAGAAATCTCTCTGTATCTCTCCCCTCTAGCTACTTACTCAAGGCTCTGTGGGACAAGCATTTGTACTACAGAGCTTTAGCACCTTTCTTACAAGTCATAATCTGAGTGGGAACATTTCATGCCACTATAATACAAGACATTGTTATAAATAAAGGAAATTTTCTTTTCAGCTTAAGCTGGTGATAGGGAGGACAAGGCTTAAGCTTTTTTTTTTTGGGGGGGGGATAATGGAACAGTGGAATTTGGGTAGAAATACCAACATGAATATCCCAGCTTCGTGTAGAAGTTTTCATCTACAGCTGTAGATAGAAGTACTGGTGTTTAGAGTGGGCATGTGCTCGGTATCTGATACAAGGAAATAGCTCTGGGGCAGCAGTTTAAAGACTTGCTTCATTACTTTGGATATGTGGGTGTTACTTTAAATTTAATGGTCGCTACAAATCAGTATAACACTAAAGCTAGAGGGCTAATGGTCTTTTTGAATAACTGAGTCAGCTGCAGAGATTGGATCCTGTGCTGGTGTAAAACATTGCAATTCTGTCAAAGTGCATTGTAAGCTGTCAATTTAGACCAGCTGGGAAGCCTGACCCAGAAGACTCTGAAGATGAAGGTTACAAAAATTATCGAAGAAATTGACATTATTTTTCCATCTCTCTTCTTTCCCCAGGGCAGCCATTGAAGCTCTGGCAGCTTTGCTGAAATCAAGTAAGCTTTTTTTCTTCGTATTCCGTTTGAATTTTCTTTATGTGCTGTGCTGCTGTTGAACCTCATTCTCCCTTGATATCCCCCCTTCTCTCAGTCCCAAAGAGCGCTGCTTAGAAAAGACAGGCAGTAATGCAGTAGTTTCCTATATGTCTAGCTCTGGTTCTTGGAGCCCCATAGCTCTGTGGGCCCACAGCTCGATGGGAGACAGTGCCCGAAGTCCCAGGGAGTGAGCTGCTGAAGGAGCCAGACTAGACCCTTATTTTGAGAGCAGTAGTTCTCCTGGGGCTTAGTACAGTTGAAGAAATGGGGAACCTCTCCAATTTTGGTTGCTTTGCTCTGGCATCACTGGAGATGTGGGGCCAGGAACTTTCTACCCTGTTGTGCTGCCGTACTATATGCTTACCTGGTAACAGCGATGCTGTTGGCAAAGGCCTGGAAAACTTCTGTAGTCCAAAAGAGATGATCTTTATTCTTCCATGAAAGCTTGTCAGGTCTGATAATGTGTAGAAAAGGCCAAGACCTAGTGCCTGCCGGGGTGCAGCCCGGCTATGGCAGGCTGTGCTTAACACTTGCACCAGCAGGCTGGGGGTGTTAAAGACCTTAACGTGGGTTCACAGTTACACGCTGCTGGTGTGACTGTTCCTGAAATGAATGTGCTACCCTTTTTTGCCTTTATCTCGTCCAAAACCAGTTAGTTCTTTTATGACCAAAATTTAATAAAGCTTTGATTAAGAAATAGCACTCTACTATTGCAGACAATCTACTCTACAATAAATCACAGTGGTGTATTGTCCTCTCTCCCCCCCTCCATCGTTTCTTCCCCTCCTCTTTTCCTTTTCATATTATTAGGAATAAATGCATTTGTGAAAAATTGTAGCCCTGGAAGCAGTACTTAAATGAGCGTGCTGCAATGGGGATCATGTCTGAGTTGCAGCAGCTCAAGTGATGAATTCTGAAATAGTGCCTCAATGTTAACCTTGCTACCTAGATTTAAAGGTCACATTACTGCAACAAGGAAAGACCTTGTGGTTTGAGCACAAATTCTTAATCATAGAATCATTAAGGTTGGAAAAGACCTCTGAGATCATCAAATCCAACAGTCAATGCAACACTACCATGACTACTAAATAAAGAGGTTGATGGGCTATGCCACAGCTGCGTGCAATACAAAAGCAAAATTACCACCCAGTGTAGAAAGAAATTTGCAGAGAAGGCTAGAAAAGTAGAGCAAGAGCTCAAAGCTCATCTCGCAGCCTGAGCTTTTCTTCTGCACTCGTGTTTTATGGTAGGTAGTAAGAACGGGAAGTGAAATTCTGCTGTCCCAAGACACAGGATAAGTTTTCTACCTGGAATCTTGTTCTGGGTCTAGAGATGAGAACAGCATATAGAAGTGGAGTACTAATTACCAAGGGAAGCTCTGAAGAGTAGTCTCTGGGAAAGTTGTAAACATGTGTTGTGAAATTTGTGGAGGAAGCTGAGTTGGATTTAGCTCCAAATTCTCCCAACCCTCTTTCTCCTGGAGTAAGGTAGGTTTTTAAAGCTATTTACTCTGTGTGACTCTTGCCAGCCAATTTAGATTGTGAAGGCATCTTGGTTGGTTCTTCCTTTTATGCTTTTTGTGCTTTAGTAAGTGTATAGATGGCTTCTACCACTGGAAAACCACACTGATTGTTCTGGTTGGTTGTTTCAGGTGCTTTCCGGAAGGTACAAAAATGAATTTCAATGAAACACTATCACTCTGGTTAATCACTGATATACAGATTAGGATTCTCATGTTCACTTGTACTGTTGACCATTGCAAACAGAAGCATGGCTTGGTAAAGACATACCACTTTGAGCCACCCTGCCCAGTTGGCTGTTATGTGTCCTTTTCTCCTTTATCATTCACAATGAACAACATTGTTGCAGCAACACCAGCTACTGCTTCCACAGAAAGGTGACTTTTAGGAAAATACATAGTCTATTTTCTTTTAAGCCACTGAAACTGTGGTTGTGAGATGGTGCCAATACAATCACATAGAGTACCACAGCCCACCAAGACAGCCTGAACTGTTTTCCGGTGTTTTCTGCAGTCTGATGCTGGGTGGTCAAGAATGTCTTTTAGCTTTCTCCTTGTCCTGTGGCTCAGGACACAAGAAGCTCCAGGCTTCTGGAGTAGACTGCTCTGGTAGCTGCATACAAATGAGTAGCCTGTGTCTTTTGGGAGGTGTGGGTCAGGAGATGTGAAAAACAGCTCTGGTGCTTCCAGGGATAAATTCACTGTGTCCGGAAGAGAGAGGATTATTTTTTCATGATTGTCAGGACACCTTTATTTGTCACAGTCAGTTTGTTTATGCCCATTACCGTAGTGCTTTTGAATGGTACAGGGGTTCTTAAAAAGTTAATCTGGTAAATGCTGTAGGACCTGAAAATTGTTTATGAAAAAAAAAGGGTAAAACTGTTCACGGCAAAGCACCCAGCAGCCTGTTAGTGTGTTTTAGATGGGATGCAAAAATCCTGGAATGTGTGTCAGTATTGAAGTGGTAAACTGATTCTTGTGAGCTTTTTGAAGGCTTGCTTTAACCCACTTGCTGGGAAACAGTGGTGAGATTGTTTTACTGGGGTGAAGGCTATAAAGCAGGACAAGAACACGTCCATTCTTGAGGTCTCCTCTGGGGCTGCTGCATCCTTAGGTGCTTCATCCCAAAGGGATAGTGAGGGTTACAGTTATACACCAAGTTTTGCAAAAGAGTAAATGTCCCTCTTGCTTTTGGCAGCAAGCTGCAACGGGAAAACACAGAGCAGTTTTGAAGAGAGCAGGCAGATGGCAGTGTGTCTCCCTGATGGATTCAGAAACATCCATCTTCAGCTCCTCAGGCTTCCATAAGCTCTACTTGAGACTTTGTCCACCTGCAGAGTCAGGGGCTGGCTAGAAACTTTTGGCCTCTGCCTCTTTTCTTACAGAAGGAGATGCTAACTTGCAAGAAGCAAGATCTGCTGAGAAATTAATGTAAGAAAAAAACCCTAAAACATTCCAGCTGCATCTGAGAAACTGTTTCTGTTGCATTTCAGAGGGAAAAAGAATGATTGTCTAAAGAAATAAGCAATGGGACACTGCAGACTTGTGCTTTGTTCACAACACTCATAACACTTGCTTTCCAGACCCCTCACCAGCTTTGTGACAGCAATGGAAGATGAAGGGCTGTTGCTCTTAGCCATGGGCTCTGTTGCTCTTAGCCATGGGCTCTGTTGCTTTTACTGACCACAAAAACAAGCAACAAAACCTCCCCAAAACCAGGCAAACCATTCCCAGTTTGGGGCAGTGGAAGAAACCTTTGCACCAGCGCTGTGAGTGCAGATAAGGGTGGGCTGAAGGCAGTGGGGGAAGGCAGCGGCTGCAGCCACCGGGCTCCTCCCTCCAGGCAGTGGCAATGCGGTTGCTGCTGCCCTCACTTGTTACAGGCGAGTAATTTGTTTCTCAGCAGGTTATTTTAATCTAATTTTCACCATATTTTGTTATTCCTGATTATCTGTGCTTCCTGGAATTAGCAGCTTGCATGTCTTCTAAGGAAGTGAGCTAGAGCTGATGTCCGAGGCATTTGCTCAGTGGCTGTTGAAGGAAAGGTCTAGGGAAATGGGCAGGGTCCTTACTGCAATGCTTGCCCAGTGAAACTGTAATGAGCAATTTAAAAAGACAGGTTGTGGTGACCCCTGATCACGCTTATTTCATCAAGACAATTCTGTGTGCTAACAGCAGTTATTGCTGATGGCCTTTCCCCTCTCTTTCTATATCTTTTCCTTCCTCCTTTTGTCTTCTTTATCCTCACGTCTTCCCTTTTCACTCCCAGCCTTTCATCTCTCATTTCCTGCTCTTTCCTTCACATCTTCTGTCAACTAACCTTTATTTAACCTTTCACCTCCTCTTTTTGTTATCAAAGCATAAGGATTATGTCTTGTGGCTGGTGGGATAAAATAATCAGTGACATACTTTCCCTTTTATGCTGCCATCAAGGAGGGGCAAGTAACTGCAAGAAACAGAAAGCGATGTTCTAACCCGTAAGCAGATTATGGTTTCTGAAAGGCTTGCACCCTCTATGTCTGAATTCATAATGCTTTGCAGCAGATCTACTGACACAGGTCTTTTGATCTTGTGTCAAAATAGCCCTATCATTAAACCATGTCAGCTTCTGTAGCCAACAGCTTATTGTCTCATTTGCCTAGTATTTCAGCAGGTACTCTTTTCTCCTGATTGGTTTAAGACTTCGTTACCGACCTCTGATTCAAACTCTGTTATCAGTCTGGCCACAAATCTACCATCACAGCTTCTGTTGTGAGTTGAATTTTGTAAGTGGTTCCTTTCGTAGTCATCTAAACCAAGTTCTGTGTCCATCCTTTCTTCCTGAATTTCAGAACACACACAGTCTTGATTCTATATGTATGTTATCTCTTCGAGCATAGCCCCTTTATGCGGGAGGGGGTGGAGTTATTTTTGGTTGCCCTTTGTATTCCCTTCCCCAATCCTGCTCTTCATTCATAGACATTTCCCAAACTGAAAGTAACTTGGCATTCCAGAGAAAAACATTGTTTTCATCTCCTTGGGCATGGCAGCTTCCCACTGTTTTGCTCCTCAGGGTGGGTATAATGGAACCAAAGTGATACGTTATTCTCTGTTGATGTCCTTGATAGTGATTCCTTACTGCCTTTGTCTTGGTATGAGCAGTGTTTGTGCCTCCAGTGATGATCTGGCTTAAGAAAATGCAGTGGCCAAATTTGAGGAAGCCTTCTAAATTCTAGCATCCTTATTTGAACTCTTTCAAACCATTTTGGTCAGAAAAATATCAAGCTGGAAATTTTGTGCGAGTGTGTGTTTTGTGAATTTCCAACTTTCTGTTGAGTTGCAAGAAGAAGATGCTGTGAAACTGAAAAATAAAGGAGCAAGAGGAGACCTTTTTGAAAATCCTTCTCCTTCTGGGGTTAGCTCAAAAGTTTTGCAAAGGTTTAGGTTGCTCTTTCTTAATTTTTATATATAAACAATGTAACAAAGGCAAATTAGAGGACCTCCGTGTCATGATACAGTTTGTATGATTCCCAATGAATTGGTCAACACCTGGAAGTAAAATATTTTGGAGTACAGAGAATGAGCTGAAGATTAGTTTGTGGCTGATTCCTGCTCTGGGAGCAAAACACAGTGTCTGTAGCTGCTAGCAAATCCTGCCTGTGTTCTCTACCTTTGTGCCAGTGTTTATGCATTTATCCTAAATGCTTAAATCAATGTCTGGACTCTGTGAAGCTTGTTTACAGGGTACAATTACAGTAGTCTCCTGGCTTCCAACAAAAGTTGAGCTAATACCAGCTTCTTGCTGCAACTGTAGAGCCCACTCAGAACCTGATAGGTGACTATGGGGACAACTCATTTTGATTCTATAGGGAGCCCTCATGCTTGTCTCTGGCAGAAATGGCCTCTCAATGACTGACAAAAATAGCTGTTTCTCATTGCGTTAGGAGATATCTTGCATCTTTTATTCCCAAGAGGTAATCACTAGAGCAGAGTGGGGAAGTTAGAGGTTTTCTTATTCCATTCACTGCTTTAGGGGCCATAGGGTTAATTTAGCAGAGCATTCTTATCTCCAAACTGTACCAGTGTATGTTCTTGGCATAATGAATCAGCTGAGTGGCATCAACAAAGAGATTTAAGCAGATAGACAGAAAGATAAATATCTCTTTGTTCTGCTGGGTAAGCAGTGCATTGCTCATCATATTTCAGGTTGACTGTAATACAGTTTTGTGATTAAATATTCTGCATGTTTTCCAGTAGTTCCTGTGTTCCTGGCAAACACTTCAAAGGGAACGGGAATGTGAGGAGAGCTTCAGAAATGTCCACACTGGCAGTCATGAGACTTCTATCTACGAGACTCAAACCCTGGCTTCAGAGTCTTTGTCCCCTAACACAGAATTCTGTCAAAACTGGGGATCTCTTTTTAGTGTCTCATTGCACTTGCTAATTTACATGTATCTTTAACCATTTGATGCTTCTACACTTTAGTTGTGCATCCATGTCAAATGTTTCTGGCTCACTGCACAGATTATTCAGGCCAGTTATTCTGTGCTGCAGTGGTTAGCAGTACTGTACCTGGAAGCCAGAAACAGAAAGTTAGTTCTAGCAGTGCAGGAAACTAAGAGCTTGAACATTCCTCTATTGCCCATCCCAGCCTCAGCAGGCAGAACTGAAACTCTTGCAAAGAAAATAGTATGCCAGACACAGGACTGGGGAAGGGGGTGAAGACTTGCTACCCTGTCAGCAATGCCAGAATAAGATTAGGAACATGGACTGTTACAGGAGAAGAGTCGGAGATCAGTCAGATCTGATCTAGTATTTAATTTTACCAGAAAATTTAGGTATGTAAAATATTTAATAAGTACGGAGAGATCAGCGGTCAATTAAATTTCAGGTTACTATGGGATACAAAGATTATTGCATAAGCTTACTATATATGTATTGAAGGTTACATGCATGCAAAAGGGATCCACCTAGGGAGGTGTCCCTACTCAAGGGGAGATCACTGCCATGCAGCCAGCTGCTGTGGAAGGAGAGCTCAATGGGCCCTGATGGCAGCAGATACTTATAGCATAAAATGGTTTGTAGTGATTTGTAGTCTTTTTGCAGGGAATGCTGTTGGCTGCTTATCAGCCCAGTTTCCAGCCAAGTATGTTTTTTGAGGGTTTGGTGTTGAGTTCTCACTGATAGGCTCACGCAATAGTATTCACTTCAGTCAGGTCTACTTGCTGAGTGTCTACCTAGATCAAAGTTCAGTTGGTTCAAACAGGAGGACTGCACCCCTCACACAGACCAAGCATGAATCAAAATATGAAGGACCATCCTTGGGCACTTCTGAAAGCTGTGTGGAAGGAGAACTTCCATTTCCACTGAACACTGGCTCTATCCAGGGAGAAGGAAAGGGACTAATGAGAGAATACCAGCAAAAGGGTCAAAAGAATAGGACATTTTACCACTTACCACACAGATCATGCATGCTCACTCCAGGAGGGGTGGGTTCTTGCTGCCTACAAATCTGTGCAGTGCTGCTTGTACCTGTATGATTCATTTCCACCATCTGTATTTGTGCCAAAGTATAGATAAGATACACATGCAGGTGCATCCCTAGATGGAGAGACCAACAGACGCAGACAGGTGGGGAGGCCTCCTTTTTCCATTCTGCCTTCTGGAGATCTTGGCATACATCCTCCTTCATTTATTCAGTGCTTTATTGACTATACGACTGAAAAAAACGGAAGAAAAAATAAGAAAAACACTGTCAGCACGGGAGAACAGAGTAGAATCAATGAAGTCAGACAGGAGAGAAAAAAATAATTTTTTTTGCCCTTTCAGCAAGTAATTCGCATTGCTTCTGATCAAAGTGCTGAAGAAACTATAGTCCTGCCTCTTCCATCTCCTCCTCACAGAACAGACTATCTCAGCTTCACCTTTCAAAGCAACTGTTTTGATCTTAAGGTGATAAGAAAACATGAGGGTAAACGTAGTGAAGTTATTTTGCTCAACTGCCTCCAGGCTTTTCATCCAGCGATAAAACCAAGGGACTATTGTGTGCTCTGGTCCCTAAGGAGCTGGGATCCAAATGTGGAAGTCTATATTGAAAGACATGAGGAAAACATCACAAACATTTGAAAATTGTTTTTTGTTTTTTATATATAAATAAATTCCCCAAGAAGCTCCACCCTGAGTGCTTTGCAATATTTCCCTTCTCCTATTGGCATTGACATACAAAGCTTAGACTCCAAGCACTGAATGCTAGGGGCTATAAATCCCTAGATCTAGTCCAATTTCATCTGCCTCTGAGCAGTTCAGGGAACTCTGAATTCAATCCAAATTGTCCTTACCTTACGTTCCTTGACTCTCTTCTTGTCATGTTTTATATACTTACTGACTTTTACATAGCTTCCTGAGTAATTCTTCAAGCAAGATTGACTGATTTAAGGGGTTAGTCATCCTGCAGGTTAGTAAACATAACAGCTGGTTGAGGATTAACAGGAAATTGTGAATAAAATCATTGGGATTGATAAGAGATTCTCAAGCAATTAAAGTTTTCTTGCAGAAAGTCAAGAAGAAAAAAGCAATGTAGAGTGAAGGTCAGAGGAGGAGGATGACCTTCTACGTGCTGACAAGCACTGAGTCCCGAAATACAGGATGTACAGCAGAGTTAGTGTAAGATAGTTAACAACAAGGGGATAAAATGCCAGGGAGAACTGTAGGCTGAGGTGTAAGAGACCAGGCAGAGCTGTGTAGGACTGGAATAGCTGTGGGATCAGCAGGTCAGTGCAGAGCATGTCAACAGAGGAGGATTAAAATGAGTTGGCAAACTGGTCTAGGACTGCTATTGTTTGCCTGCTCTGTGGTGCCAGTGGTAGAGAAAACTGCACGATGAGACCAGGTAGCAGAACGACCCTGCAATCCCTTCTCCAGGTAAGAGCTTCCTAATGTACTGCAAAGGGCAGATCGAGACAATTTCAGGTGACTTCCTCCCCCTTTCCAACACCTCCATCTGCTTCATCACTGAGATTGAGCTTTGCTGCCTACTAGCTGCTTCCTGCTCATTCTCTCCATGGCTTCCCTTGTTACTGATTTTTCTTTGCGAAGCATCTTTCTGTTTTCTCTTAACCTCTAGCATCTTCTCCTGTCCTGTAAATCCCCACTGATGACTTTAGTGTTCCAGGTGTGAGAGGCTCTGACACTCTATTTAATGAACTGGAAGTGATTTGGAGCCTACCAGCTCTGGAGAACCCATACCAGGAGCCATCTGTCATGAGCTGCAAATGCTGATTGGTATTCAGGGAGCTGAGCTCCAGTCTTACATATGCTACCTGGCCCCTTGGTTGATTACAGAGATCCTGACAGCTTCTAATGTGTGTCACAGCGACGAATGTCAGGACCAGTCAGGAAAATATGTTTAGGCAGGGTTGGTTTGAAGGGAGGGAGCCTAGAGTCTGATATGGCTTCATGTTTGCCCTGTGGGGCAGTGTAAGGAGCTCAGTAGGTGAAGGGATGTGTTTTAGAATACTCAGCAGAATTTGTATTTTATCACAAGTTTTCCAATCCTCTTTTAGTCTGATATCCTGGAGCTACATGATTATGGGAACACTGCTGCAGCTTTTCTTTTTTATATTTTTTTATAAAGCTTTTAAATTTTTTTTTTCTAGCCCATGTAGCAAAGACTTTAAGCGTCACCTAAATGTGACCTTTAAAATCTCAGAGCCAGAAAGCAACTGAAAAGAAATTCTGAGTTTTGCTGCTCATGTTGGCGTTTTGTTAATTTTTAAATACTGTGGATTTCCAGAACGTTTTGATTTATGGCTTTCGTTATATGGGTATGTGTTGGAAGACATTTAGAAGTTAAACACAATTTCGCTGGCTGTGACAGGGTTGTACAGCTACAAGGTTTCTGGATTTGTTGATCTCAGCAAGGTGTTCTCTCAGGACTGAAGTACAGCACTGTGTGAGGATTATATGACCTGCTGTTGAGTAATCTCACTGTTTTTTAGCTTTTCTCACTCCTCAGGAGCTACTTTAGCTCCAGGAACTCTTACGGTGCTGCAGTTGGAATTAAGTTTGTTAGCACTCGAGAAAAGATATAGGCTCTGCCCTTTCCCCACCCATGGTTTGGTTCATCCGGAGGGTTCCGGAGCAGCCATTTCCACCTAGACAGGAGAGAGATGGCTTCATTTTTGTCATGTATGATTCCAAGAAACTAGCTCATGCTTAGCAAATATCCTAAATTGTAAACAAAAAAAAAGTATTTTTTTTTAAACTTAGACCTTTAAACAAAAATGAGCAAGTGTTAAAGTCTGAGTCTGAGCACTGAGTAGCCATGTGGTTATCAGTCACCTCACTGTAAGTAACGGAAAAATTTTAATTCATCCTTTTGTCTTTGTTTTCAGAATCTAACAGCCGACGGGCAGTAAACAGAGGCTACCTGGGTGGATTGTTGAGACTCTATCAGGACTGGCATCACAACGATGTCTCCAACAACTACATTTATATTCGTAGGGGTCTCCTGCTCTGCTTAAAGCACATCACCAATGTCCAGCTGGGCAGGGACACTTTCCTTGGTTCCCGGGGTATGGAGATTCTTTTTACAAGCATACAGGTAAACAGTGCTTTTGTGCTTAAGTGAGATGGATTGATAGTTAGTGCTGGGTTCTACCTCACAGTGGAGGAAATTTCATAGTTGTATCCTGAATTTATATAACATATCAATGAAAAACCTGTTAATATTTGTTTTTAAAAAAGTATTCCCCTTTTCACATTTAGTATTTTAGAAAAGCTGAAATCTTTCAATTTAAAACTAACTTTAATTCCCACTGAGCCTCATGGGAATTGTAGTTCAGGCTTTTTACTGTTTTTTTATCTCCTTTCCTGTGGGTTCTGCTGTCTGCTTGGGCTTCCTCTCCCAAAGACCAAAGACCAGTGCAATGTCTCCACAGAAGAGTTGCTTAGGTGTTTAATGAGATGTTTCCTTTCAGATATCGAAATGGATAATACTACACAACCATTCTTAACCAAAAAAGTATTTATTTAGCCAGGCTTCTGTTAATGGGAGACATCCATTGACTGGTTTTGCCTAATCTTAAACGTGTGAAACATTAATGAAGGTTCATCAAGAAAGATTACGTGGTCCTGAAGAAGGGATCCCTGTAAGGTATAGGAAGGGCAGGTACAGAACAGTAATGGTTTTCTCAGAGTCTCTCATGAATATGCTTCTTTAACCTTTGGAGAAGTCTCTTATGGAGAAACCTTTGGTTCTTGACCCATGTGATTCCTCAGGAGTGTTTCTGTTGTCATTCTTACTGGCCAAGTACATTATCTCATTCTAGCACCATCACAGACAGAATGAAAAACCTGTTCCCTTCTCTTCTGGAAAATCCATTGCTTTATGATCCAGTGCAATTGCTACTTCACCTTTCCCATCACTGTCATGAACAATTCTCCTGTGACTGAAATATATTTCTTACTAATAATAGATTGGTAGAGGTGTTTTTCACACCACTTTTTCAAGTGGTGTGAGGTGTCCAGGACCAGCAGATCTTTCAAGGGAAGTATGGCTTCTGTTAATGAGAAGTCCCTGGTCTGCAGAAACTTGAATAGGGTGGATGGCAACAGCTGCTTGAGGGTAGATGTCAGCTTGTTCCTTCTCAAGAGCCTTCTGTAGCCCATGTAGCTTTCTGAGCTAACATCTCCTGATAGCTCAGCCTGGGAGCAACCCCATGGAAAGAGCAAATATGGAGTCACCTTGGGTGAACAAACAGGAAATGACTTACTAAGACTCCAGTGAACACTGATAACGCTAATCCTTCCAAAGGTTAGAAGTGGAGCGGAAATGACAGCTTCAGGGGCCTCCAGTTTGCTGCCTTTTTTTTTTTTTTTTTTTTCCTCCTCTCCTACCGTGCAATACAAGGGAGATCGTGGAAGGGGAATTACCAAGGTTAATAAATTTAAAGCTCAGAGTTCCCTTGCTGCTTCTTTGGGATATTGTCAGTCTTAGAGGGTCTCTCCAAGACATGAAGTGTCAGGAGGAGTCTGGCAGCCATAGGAGGTCTCACTCCTGCTCTGACCTGAGGTAGAAGCTGCTGCTACTAAAATCTTCATAATCTTCATAGTAGACAGAAAATGGGAAATCTCTTTTCCTGAGAGGAACTGCAGGCTGTAGTAAGAGAGAAAGAGATGGAGACAGGGCAAAACAAACAACTTCTACTTGAGAAAGTAATGGTTTGTGTGTGCAAATGGTATTTTAGTGCCTTTAGAAATTTGCTCTGGTGATCGGGCTTGTCCAAACTCTGAGCAGCTAATGAGATTTTAAAGGTGTTAAAAGCTGGCTTGAAAAGTTCTGCTGAAACTTTTCTTTTTTGCTTTATTTTAATCTATTGAAATTGAAACTGTTTTGCCAAGATGGATTTGTTTTAACAGCCTGCAGTGGAACTCCTATTTACAAGGATGGTTTTCAGTTGAAACCTCCAGCAGCTCTCCATCAGTCCATACAATAAACAGAAATACCTGAGCTTTTAATAGCCCTTAAGCCTTTGTCTTTACACGAAGAGCCAACAGTTCAAGCACTGTCTCCTTACATAGGTTAGAAGTGACTGACACTTTATTTGAGGAGAATTTATAGATATTTTGAGTTCTGCTCCTACTTGGAATGAAAAATAATTTTAGATAATGAAATCATTTGTGAAAAGGAAACACTTTTTTTCTCCCATTTCTTTTTCCAAGCTCTGCTTAGGCTTTCATGGCAGTTAAGTGGTATATTCACATTAGCAACTGGTTGGTTTTGTGTGCAGTGACTGACCTGCCTACTCTGAGACAAGAAAACGGGTTTGTATCTGACTTAGGAGAGACTGGTGCATGGAACATTATTTTACTGTTTTATTATTTATCCATCTGATTTCTTAACATTACTTGATTTCTCTTCAGCCTTCTGGTACAAGGGTCTACTCTAGGATAAGGTACAAGGGTCTACTCTAGGATAACTTTCCCAGCATTAGCTTTCATTAGTATCATTACCTTTTGCCTTATGGTCATACTGAAACCTCCTTTTCTGTCTAAGTCACATATATAACATAATATCTAGACTCTTCTAGATTCAGTAGAGAAAAGATTGAGTGTGGAGGCTAAAAAGCATATACTCTGAATTCACTCTTTTCTCTCAAGTGCAATATCCCACTACAAAATAGATGCAAGAGTTTACACACATACAAAGCACTCTCCCGTCTTTTGCAAGTGTCAGTAAAAGAGGCTTTTTCAGTACAGTGATGGAATATTTTTCAGTCATTGATAAACTGTGTTTATCTTGGAATGTGAGAGCACTTCATGAACAATAATGAAGATAGTCCCACAAATTTCCTGTAATGTATCTGAAGGCTTGTTTGTAGTTGTAAGCTAATTTGCTGTAAAGAAAAATATGATTTTCAAACAGCATAATTGAATAACTCCATCTGTGGAAGTTCATTGTTTTCATGAACATGTTCTAGTATTTCAGTTCACTTGGCAATGACTTTAGCATGGCTGGCACAGTCCTGCATTCACTGTTCTAGTAAAACCAGTTTTATTAAACTATAGTAAGACTGTTTAAAAATGTTATTCTACTCCCTGTGTAAACAAACTTTCCTTTATCTTTCTCTTAATAACAAGTAAACAAAGGCAACCAAACACTATGTGAAGGAGTGAATAAGTGGAAATCGAAACTAGCTCTCCTTGGTGTTTGCTCTAACTACAGTAAGACTTTCCTTGGTGATGCTTTTGAAATTTTTTTCTCTCCCACTTGTTCCTAGCAGCCAGAGATCTAGAAATGCACATTAAGATTCTTGTAGCGAGTCTTGTAAGCATGTCAGCTTTAGATGATTTTTTTATCCTCCCTACAGGAATCTGGATTAATCCCACTGAATCTTCTCCATGTATGATTGAATGGCATAATAAAACAGAATAAAATCTATGTAACCAAAAAAAACCCCACAAAACCCAATACAGCCATTTTCCTTTTCCTGATTATAATAAAGTGCTGTTACCTTCCTTGGTCATCACCCTCACTCTGCTGAATAGTGGGTTTTTTTTGTTTGTTTGTTTGGTTTTTTTTTGTCCAGCCCAAATCCTAACTCTGGTCTGTCAGACAATGGCACAAAGTATCTGATCTGCCCTCTTTGCTGTTCATTTTATCTGTGCTGAAGGGATGCAAAAACATTAAATGGTATTAGAGTGTATTGTCATATTCCTCTTTTGTAGCATGTTTGTGCTGCTTACTTGGCTTATGTTCCTGTTCTGATGAGCTAAGTCTTAGTCCCAAACCACTAAATATAGTGTGCTGATAGGCACAGAACAACTTGTGAACTTAGGCAGGATGCTACACTGATTTGTCAGCCCCTCTGAAGGCTGTGGTATAAACGTACTGTACCTGGGGAAATCTGAATGCTTAGTTTTCTGAGCGCTGCACCTATTGGTTTTAAACAACTTCACCTTTTGTGCGACAGCTGTAATACACTTATCCAAACTCCTCTTCTGTGATACTGAAGACATATGCCTGCTGTGATCTCCCGGGGGGCTTTGTTTTAGTTCTGGGGGAGGTGGGATGGTTCTCTTTGCACCAAAAGACCATGCAGTTGACTTGCATAGTATGGTAGTAAAAATTCAAAATATTCTATGTTTTCAAAGTACATCTGGGCTCTCATAGCTCCTTACACTTCTATTTCCTGCTCTGGATTATAGGAGTAGAAAATGTGGCATACTGCAGAAATCCAATATTTTATGACTAGGTGATATATAGTGATCTTTTGGAATAACTCTTGGACCTAATGCTTAACCATATAGAATAGCGTACAGTGGGAATGCTGTCTTTGAGTATACCTTGTGTACACTACGTACAGATAGCTAATGATGTAATTGTTCTAGCTTACCTGTATTAGTTTTGTCATGATAACTGTGGATGTAGTTGTGGTGAAGATGTAGAAGCCCGGATTTTGGTGTGTGGGGGCAGCCGAAACATGTACATGGGCTCCCTGTGGGATCTTTTAAATCCATATTAAAGAATATATATTTTCAGTGCTACTTTTACCTATGCTAGCTAGGATATTTTAGCTTATGATATTATAGTGTCTTCCTTCAATGTACCCTGATTATAACATCTCAGGGCAGACCTAGGTCATGGATGCTGTGTCATCTAGATGACATGCGTCAGTGGAAGCACCTTGAGGTCCATTCTAGCTTGTAAGAAATAGACTGAAGGCGCTTGAAGGTTTGCTGTTCCAAGCATATTATTTTAATGGTAAAAACAAGAGGAAAAAAAAAAAAGGAGGAGCAGAAAAACCCCAACATTCATAAATATAAAGATTTCCTATTCTGATCAGGAGTGTCTCTGCTCTGGGGGATTGTATGTAATAGGCAGGACACTTGTAAGAGACAATTCTTAACATTGTTCTCCTCTGCTTCCTAGGACTGTTTATCTTGCAAAAATCTGGATCCTATCATAACAACTGTGATTCAGATTCTGAGAAAATGCTACCCCAAGGAGTCTTTGCCCATGGCAACAGTAAGAAGTTCCTATTTCTTCCCTCTTCCTGGGAATGCCAAGTCTGAACCTCCATGTGAGGGATCTGAAGGTAAGTGGCTGAAGGGCGAGTTCAGGAGGAAGAGCTGCATGACATGAGAATTAATAGTGGGATCTGGGGAAGAGAGTCTTGGCAGCCTAGTCCTGAAGTTTACAGTTAAAATTAATCTGAAGGCCTGCAGTGTCACTCAGCAGACATGAAACTACTCCCAGCTCTTCTTGAAGCCTGGAGATTCTGTTTAGAGAATAAATGAGAAAAGATTAAAAGGAGCAAGCAAAAGGGGAAAATAAATCTTTTTATTATCCAAAAAAATGATGGAACAGAGTGGGCATGGCCAGAGGCTGGAGATGCCACTGCTCCGCAACAGCCACAGAGGGAGAGACAGTTGTGCTTGTGCGTGACTGTTTGGGGTAGGGAACACTGCCCTGAAGCTTCTTCAGTAAAGAATTGCAGGAAGTATTATCGTTTCTCCTTTCTAAAATAAAAACAGATAGCAGTCACACTGCAGGAGTGAAAGACGTGAGCACTTGCTAAAAAGCAAATCTTAAGCACAGGCAGGATAGTCACTCCACAGAAAAGGAGAAATGGCAGTCTCCATGATGCACACAAGCAATTTCTCTGTTGCTTTCAGTTTCAGATGGAAGCTGCTCAAAGACTATAATGATGATATTAGTAAAATACCCTAATCTAGATAATATAGATTAAGAGCATCCTGTAATATTGTTGCAGCCAAGCAGAAAATCTCTATATTGCTTGGTAATATGAGTTGGATCTGTACCATGGTGACATTTGTCATGGTGTTGAAAGGTAGTGCTTGAGTCCACAAGAATGGAGCTTTAAAAAGTGGGAGATTTAGTGCCAAATTCATTTATACCATCTTAACAAGTGGGATCTGCTTTAATCAGGGTTGTGGTGGGTTGCAGTTTCACGGCATGTGGCACACACAGAGGAGATTGCAGGTATTTCTATGGAGGACCTGGGAGGAATGTCAGGTTGAGCACCTTTGCCTCTACCTCTTTTCTACGTCTGCAGGTGACTCTGAAAGTGATGGAGAGGAAGAGGCTGAAAAAGACCTGGATAACGAGGATGTGGAGAGTAAGGAGGAAGTAGGTGTATGAGCCATATTTTCCTTATCATCCACATACTGGAAAATAAAGCTTTCATTGTCCATTTTGACATCCTGATAAGCTGTCTAAGCAAAGAATGTACATATGCATGTGGTCCCACATAAATATGCTATGTGAATAATAGAAGGCTGCTTGAAAAAATAAAGAGAAAACGCTGGCTTTCGTCAAAGAATCCCCTGCATTTATCTTATTGCCACACTTGTCACCCAAGATGGTGGGGGTTTGGTGGCTTCTCTGGTCCTACAGAGAGACTGACCCATGACTGCTAGAATCATATGCACAGTCAGCGATAAATGATGGACCTGGGATTCCTCTAGGCCAGCAATGGGACTTGGTAGGGGAAAATGGAATTATCACCTAGAAAAGTCTAACCATAGTCGTTGTTTTCAGATATTGGATCATATTTAGGGTGTGCACCTATGCTGAGAAAAGCATTAGTTCTTTCAAGCTAAGACTGGAGTATTTGAACTTATATTTCTCCTTTATTTGCTGCTGCACAGACACAAATAATATAATGAATTATTCAATACATTCTTGACTTCTCCCTTTGCATTTTCTTTGTCATGACCTAACTGGGGGGGAAAATAAGGGCCAAAAACAACAAAAAAAACCCCACCAAGCATCATCTTACCAGCTGAGGATGAGAGTGCAAACTCTTTTGTTGTGAAATTACATATAAGCACATATGCAAATGTGAAGTAGTGAATGCTGCTATAATAAGTCCTATCCACATGAAGTGGTTTGGGAACGCAAATTAAAGAAATGAAGTTGCAAATACAGTCTAATTAGATGCGATTGAGACTTCTGTGGAAGGGCGTTTTCGTTACTTACCATGGTTTTTTTTTTTCTCTTTGAGTATTAAACTGATGTCACCCGATGAAAAAGTGAAGTTAAAAAAAAATACAAAAACACATTAGCCCTGTGTCCTAACTTGCCCCTGTTTTAACCAAGTATTTGAGCTCATCGAGATGCTCATTAGGAATAGGATTCATAGTGAATTTATCTCCTTCTTTAATTAGTTATTCACTTGGAAACAGAGCCTATATTCCTCTGAACTATTTAATTATTCATAAGGATTTACCAAGTAGACGTGAGCAGGTTGGGTTTTTTGCCCAAGAGCTTGTTCTGAATATGAGTCTTAAGTACTGTTTTTCTGGTGTGCTGGTCATGTATCTCCTGTTACAAATTTTTCTAAAGGGAAAGCAAGCAGGGAATCAATAATGAACTTTCATGAAATCATTTGCACAATGTTTCCCGGTATTGATGTGATTTACAAAGATTTTCACAGCTATATAACATATCCACACATACTGGTAGTACTAACCAAACTTGGCTCTACGCTTCCATCACTAACAGCTCTTTGAAAACCAAAATCATCATCGTATCAACCCAAATCTTCAGGAAGTTTGAAGCTGCTTATTCATGATTACGGTGTTAGTGGCTTTTTTTTTTAAAGATGACCCCATACTCTTTGCAGTTCTTCACTGTGTTCTCAACTAGGCTTAAACAGCAGTTGAAACTGTTTTGCAATACAAGTGTGGCTCAGGGTTTGAAATGCTGCGAACGCTTTTGTATTCAGGCAATATTTTTTTTTTCTGTTGATAACAGCTTCAGAAATGACTCCACTTACCAGGAGCAAATCACTTCTTTGGTGGGGCATGCTAATGATATATTGAATTATTTGAATAATGTTGTAATATCATGCCCAACTATCAATACCACATCTCCATACTTCCCTTTTGCCTTTTCCTTTCCTGGTTTCTTATGAAAAAACTGAATGCTTGACACAGTTCAGTTTTGGTTCTCTTTGTCTGATATGGAGTAGGTTGCATGTGAATGCACAGTTGCCTTCAACTGTAGAAGTTTCAGACATGGTTCTTATTCCTGATTTGCTGATGGTTAAGATCTAAAAAGCTTTCTTTCATATAAAAGTATCAGAAAGTTTGGGGGGTATAGAAGGTGGATTGGGCAAGGGTTTCACAGATTTTTCTTTTTTAATAAGTATCATTTAGATAAAAATAAAATATAAGCACTTGGTGCCTGCAAGTTCAACGATACGGACCTGGGCCTTTGCTCAGAAATAAGTAGTGGTTATTAGTGTCCCTTACTTTGAAAACTTCCTAAGCTGAGGTGCTTATAAAAAGGTTCGCTTTCCAGTTTTGATGCCTTTTTTTTTTTTTAAGCATGTTTCTGTGGTATCTCTGCTTAGGTGCTCAAACACCCAAACATCAAATTCCCTTTTTTCATGATTTAGTCTTTCTTCCTCCCTGTATTCAGTTCCATAAAATTATTTTAACAGCCTTTGTGAGTATAGGAAGAAAGTTATAGGACTCATTAAATGGTATGATGTCATTAGAAATCAAGTGTATTAGGCAGAATCTTGTGGGACATGTTTAATACACATACTTTTCTAATTCTACTTTTGTAGGATTATGACTTGGAGACAGACGTGAACAAACTGAGATCAAGGCCAATGCCTGACCGGCCAGAGGAAGAGCTTGGACAATATGAAGCACTGTGTCCGGAACTTTCCCATAATTTTCAGGTACTATCACAGTGAAGCTTCCTTCACTTGTGAATATTCAAAACTTTAAAAAAAGCTTGAAAGGGAATACTGTCAAGGGGTGACTAGGCTATTGTACATGGAAACCCAGATATCTTATAGGACTGGAAGAACAAAGGTTAAGACTTTTTGCTGTAGTTTATTGGTGTGCATCAAGAGTGATAGAAAGGGAGCGATGATGTTTGTTGCACATTTGGCTGGGTATGGAATAACGTAAGCGCTATAGAATCAATTGTCAGGTGAGAAATCTGAATGATAATAACTTTTGTCCTTGCTGGCAATTTCAATGGCAGTATCAAGATCAGAATAAGATGCGGAAAACAAATAGCTTCAACTAGTGTTTTGAAGGAAGTGATGAAGATTGCATTGCTGCCGAGTGAAATACACAGTTCAAATCATTGTTCTACTGCAGTTTGAGAAAAGGAGTACCGCACTCATTACAAGTCTTAGAATTTAGGAGTGCTGAAAACCGTGATTCAGACATGAATCTGGAAAGGACCACTGGCTTAATATATTTCCTATACATAACATTTAGTAGGACCATAACTAGTCAAAGGGGATTAAATTATACTCTTGCATCAAGGCAAAGGTGGAGTTTTTGCATGACAGATTGGCCTCTTTTACCCTGCTGTAACACTTAATTTGCAAAACATTTTCTTAAAACATATCTCTCCTAATTTGTTGAAACAATCAGGTTTGGTTGGAGATGATTCACCCAGATGACTCAGTTGGATCCTTTTAGTTTCTGAATACTACTCTTGAAACAGCTTTTGGATAGAGAAATTCTGGCAGGTGGTCCACAGGCTGATTTTACTCTGGCTGTCTTATTGGATGAGTACAATTCTGGGACACTTGTAAATATTTTCTTTTTCTTCCTTGAAAGGTTTCCTCTGTAAGGAGGCACAATCTGTCTTTACTTTCTTCTAATTTCTTCTGTTTTTTCAAATTTAAAGGAGCTTGACTCAGAGTCTGAGGAAGAGACAAGCTTAGAGGACAGGGTTGAGAGTCTTCCCTATACTCCTCACTTCATTCCAAGTGCTGCTTCTATGAAACAACCAAACTACAGGTGGAGAAACCAAAGTATCACAGGGAAGGGACCAGATTCAGGGGAAAAGGATTTCAAAGTCCCACTACAGAGCTGGAAAAGGAAGGAGGAATGCAGATGGGATCAGACTGATGAGAAGAGAGACATTGCAGGAGCAGCCCAAGATGCAGACTCCTGTCAAGAGGAAGATCCAGCTGGGAGTCATGGGTTTGCTTTGCGTCCTCTCCCAAAAGATGCTGCTTGGTACAAAAAAATGTTTTACCCTCAATGTGAGGCCTCAAAGAATCCTAATCATGGAGGGAGGCTGGAGAGCTCAGACACAGTAACAAATCTTCTGGAGAAACATCAAGTGGATATCCCATTCCACAGCCCTCACTTCTACATAGCTAGGGCCAAATGTGTGAAGTCTGTACCTGACTTCAAAGACATGGCATTCCCTGATTTCTGGGGTCATCAGCCACCTCCTTACAGCAAGCCCATGTTGGAGCGCAAGCATGGGGTTCAAAGGTGATTGTGCTTTAATATAATTTCTGCACTGAGAGCTCCCAGGCTCAAAACTGGTTTATCTAGGTTCTGAATGTAACATCTCTGAATGTCTTAGGAAGTTATAGAACCAGCAAGATGATGTCATTTGGGTTTTCCTCCTCATTAAAGGAAAAATGGTATCTAACTGGGTGATGATAGGATTAGGAATCAGCAAGCCTATTTCTTATCACTGACATGGACTTTCTCTATGTGAGTGGATGAGTTGTGGCCTGTCTGTGCATTGCTTTCTTTGTCCCTTAACTCAAGGTGGACACTTCTAGCGCCTGCAATGTTGGGTCCCTTCTGGTTCTTTGATGAAAAGTCCCCTCTGTCCTCTCAGAGCTGCACATATGTGTCAGGTTGTTCCTGAGAATCTCCCTGTTGACCCCTCTGCTGCTGTGCCCTTTCTAAATAAAACCAGATCTCCCCTCTGTCATACCACTAGGGGCTAGTGCTTAGAAAAGCATTAGAAAATGTTATATCAGGTGGTTGGTTGAGGGGAAAGCCGTGTTTTGAAGCTGTGTTGGGAGATGAAGCTCCTCTTATAACTGTGATTTTGTCTCTTCCATATGTAGCTGTGTGCAATGACTTTACATTTCTTTAGTGGTATAGGGAATTATTAGCATATGCCAAAGAGGCTGGATTCTATGCTAAACATTCAAGTTGATCAACGCTAACCAAATGACATTTATGAAGACCACTGATTTCTGACCTCTAGAGAGTTAATGGTTGTTTCCACATCAAATATAAAAAGTAAAAATCATATTCAGAGGCAAAATCACTCTACCATCTTCTCTTTGCACCATTGCTCTAAAAGCTTTGCTTTTATGACTATCATAGTATGTGTAACCATACAGCTAAAATGGGAATAATCATATGCTTGAGGGCATAACATGATTGCTGCAAAGGTCAGAAAGAAAATCTGATATTCCCCATCTGATCATCTTTAGGGATCAGAGAAGTTCATTTTAATAATGAGTAGAAATTAGCTTGATTTAGAGTCAAGATTCGCTATAAGACAGACTAGTAGGTTTATAAGTTATGGCAGATATTTTCTCACAGGCTAGGACTGGCCACTTGGTAGATTGACACTGACTGGGAAGAACCGAGTGTAAATCAAACAAGACAGAATACAGTAGAGAATAAAAATTTTACAGAATCAGGCAACTTGTAATGGCAATGGAGCAGGACCTTTCTCATGATAAAGAAAAAAATAAATAGAGAGAGAGACAAATGAAGTTCACCTAGAATCAGGACACGGAACTCCTCTTACTAATCCTTCAAAAAAATATCATAAGCCTGTTCATATTTCTTCTACAAGATTACTCTATACTGAGATTTCTTACAGTATCATTACAATTAGCTTTTTTTTTCTTTTCTTTTTTTTTTTCCCTAGGGACAAAGTACTAGATGACATTCGCCGCTTAATCCAGCCGAGTGATGTTATAGGCAGAACTGTTTTTGATTTAGATGAGCCCAGGTGGGTAACTTAAATTGAGTACTGTAACCAGAGGCACTGTCACTGCCGGGTTGGGTAGTGACCTCAGTTTACTTACAAGGTATTAGAAGAAATAACCTAGCAGGTAAAGACTCAATGGGAAAAATCTACAATAGTGTAGATTCCTTGTACATGGTTCTGGGGAAAAGGTTTGTTGTGAAAGTCACTGAAGCAAGACACCCTCAAGGCATTTGAAACAGAGCAAGAAAATATATGCATCAGAGGAACTGCAAGGTGTCCCTGGATATGTCTGCATTGCCTACAGTGATTTGGAACAGAAGTGTGCAGGCTGATGCTGAGAATTGTACCTGTGAGTCCAGATGCAGTCTTTCCTCACCTTGAGGCAGCATTTCCCATTGGGAGTGCACTTCAGTGTCTGTGCAGCCAGTGTCACAGGCTGTAGGTATGCCCTGAAAGGTGTGGCACACGTAAAAGGCTTCTGAAAGAAAACATCCAGCCTTGTGAACTATTTCAAGTGCTCAACTATGGCCAGCAATTGTGGTCTTCAAGAATATGTAGCACAGGGCGGTTGAGAGGATCCTAAATATGAAGAAATTGCTTTCAGAGGAAGGATGAGTGACTTAAGATTCTTTAGAGGAAAAAAAAGGTGGACAGTTTGAAGTAGAGGAAACTTGTGAAGTTCAAGATGAATTTAAAGGTTTCTATGCTTTAGGAGAAGGAAACTATATAGAGAAGGCAAGAGTAAATGTATAGCAATTGTATGAAGCTGCCTTGTGCAATTCATAAACTAATGAGATTAACTCAGTAAGGAAAGTAATTGGAATAAAGTAAATATATACTGGGACAAAAGGGAGTACTGGAAAAGGAAAATATGTGATTTAGAATCACATGCTGTACTGGATAGGAAGACTATGAATTTGCTCATCTCTTGCAATTTCTTAAGGTCCTGCTTATAAAAAAAAAAAAGTAATAAAATCCTATTTTAAAGTAAAAACGGTGCCAGAGAACACATGTCTTTGAAGCAACTTGCTAATAGTATCCTTACTTTGATTTACTGCAGTCACTCCAAACCAGGTGCTCCAGGTTGTCTGACGTTCTTCTCCAAGTTTGAATCGGGAAACCTTCGCAAAGCCATCCAAGTGCGCGAGTGAGTACGTCTGCAGTGGCTGCATCCTCGCCTGCCTTTCTGCTGCAGCCACTGTGAAATGCTGGAGTTCTGCTGGGTATGGAGAGGGTTGGCTGGTGAAACAGATTACACGATGTAGAGCTTGTTATGCCTGCCAACACCTAGATGTCATGAAGGGTAACAGGAGTGAGAAAACAGAGCTCAAAATGTTTTGACGTGGCTAACATAGTGTGAGTATTTAATGGTGTGTTAGGGCACTGCTAGTTTGATGTTCTTTGACTCTCGCAGGATATTAATGAACAGGATTGCAGAGCCTGCTCTCCTCAGCAGGTTCAGCTGCAGACTGGTGAGGTGTTCATGGCCACTGTTTTTTTGGGACTCTTTACAGGTTTGAATATGACTTAATTATGAATGCAGATGTGAACAGCAACCAGCATCACCAATGGTTCTACTTTGAAGTCCGTGACATGAAATTAGCAGTTCCCTATCGTTTCAACATTATCAACTGTGAGAAGTTCAATAGCCAATTTAATTACGGTATGAGTCTTTGGGGAATTGGGGTAGTCTTCTGTTCACAAGAATACCCTTTTAATGTCTTAAAGGTTTTGAACTTTCCGTGTCTATAAGGAAAACTGTAAGTTTAATCCTAGCTGCCTTAAAATCTACTGGAAGAGTTACTTTATATTTGTCAAAGGACCTTTATCCTCAGGAAGACTGAGGACTAAGCTGAATATTGAAACCTGGGAGAAGATTTGCCGGGGAAAAAAATGTCACTGTTCTATGTTTGGAGACCAGAGCTGAGCGATAATGACACCGAGGTTGAGAGGGGGGGAAAAAAGATGATCTGTTGTAATTGAATGAGCAGCATAAGATTGATAAGTGCTTCTAGGATTTAAATAAATGTAGATAATCCTCCAACAAAAATTCATGATTCTTTGGGCTTATCCAGAAAGACATCTCTGCCTTCAGACCTGTTGAGACTTCCGCTGATATTAATGTTAAAAAAAAAAATAAAAATCTGTTCCTTGCTGTCTTTGAGCTCCTGTCATAGTCTGTTGTCCGGGAGGAAGGCAGCCTTGATTGGAAATAAGCAGGGCAAATCCTAGCTTTCAATGCCAATTTTAGAAGAGAAATTATTTCTTCTGCATGGAGACTGTGGATTGAATTCTTAGGTGACATAGGCTGTTTTTTTCATTTGTTTCCATGGAGCTGTGTTAATTTACACCAGCTCCAAGACCTGACTCAGAATGTTTAATAAGCCCCTAGTATCAGACTTTGCATTCCTCTGAAGCCCTGTGGATACAGCCTTCGATATCACCAGGAGAAATCTCTCAGGATCAATGTACCTAAAACAAATAGCACTAGGAGCTGGAATGACTTGTCACTTTTATTTGTGAAACTGGCTGGATGAGTGGCATAATGAATTATAAGGCATTTTCTCTTTAACCCTAAGGGCTGAAGTTCAAGTATTCTTATAGATCCCAAATGAAAACGACTTTTTTTTTTGGTCATCATATTCTGCTTCCCTGAATTACCAAACAGTTCAGTGTGGCATGCCCAGTAACAGGCTGAAAATAGAGTACATTGAGGTCCTACTGTAAACCCCAGTATAACCTCTGATACATCCACCAGTAGCTTCATAGCTGGAGATTCTGGCTGTTGTTGATGGAAGGTTGTTTATTATCTGCTAGTTTTGGCTCTTGTCAGGTATAATCTCATTTTTGTGCACCTGAAATTATACATAATTCTCATGCTCCAGCGTGCAATGAAAAATACATTTGGAAGGAAAATGCAAAAATGCTATCTCATGTAAGAAGGGAGACTAAGACATGACTTGCTTTTGTATCAGTTGTATGTGAGATTGGCTGTTAAAGAAATTCTTCTGCAGGTTTATTCTGCTGCTCTGAGAGGGCAGTGAATATCTAGCTTATCTTACTTGGCCGAGTGAGATTCACTGCCCCTTCCAGCACATGCATAATATTTACATGGACTGTTGGTAAAAGATGCTGTTTAGTCGCTGCATCCCCTCTGCATTTCGCTGGGATAACACCCACGCTATAATACTAAAAGCTTCTAGTTGTGATGTAGTGCCAAAGTGCCATGGGTGGCAATACTTCACAGCTTCTTGCTACTGATCAATTTAGATTTTTATTTTTTTTTCCCCTTTCCTTTTGCTCTTGGTTAGATGGCGCTCTGTAACTTCAAAATCAGCAAAAAGACTATTCAATGAAATAGTTGTGACCAGGAGCAGAGCAAGTCAGGAGGTGCAACCTCCACCTCCTGCCTTCCCCCTTTTCAACTAACTTACTCTACCATGAGAGATAACTGGGATTTCAACAGAAGGCTGATTTCTGTTTATTTTCTAAAAGTGAATGTTTCCATAGTGAAAATGGAAAGGAAAGAAAAAAACTTCACTTTTCTATCATTATTTATTAAAATGAGATGGCAAACCAGTATCAACCATCACTCTGAGGCAGCTTGGTGTGTTTGGTGTGTGTGTCCTTTGGACTCGCAGAGAAGAGCAGAAGCTGGCATTTGGGATGTTGAGAGCTCTGCAGACACTGAGCTTCACGTCCCTTGTCTGAAAAACTGGGCTTCCAGGCAGGACTGTGCCTCCTGAAACTCACTGTTGCTCATATCCTGGAACCAAGCACAGAATTGCATCTGTGTGGCTTATGGTGTTGGTTAAGGAAACAGTAATAGGTTACTCCTAGCTCTAGGCTAAGTAGTGCTACCCCACACCACAGCCAGAGGTGAGCTGGAAAGGCATTTCTGTCAGTACATTTGCCAGCTCTTAAAGCGCTGGAGAGTCAGCAGAGAAATCCAGAGGAAGAAGGAAAACTGTAGAGCTGCTAATGGGAATATGTCATCAGTATTAATGATTTTCAAGTATCGCCTCCTCCCAGCACAAGAATAGCCAAGAGAAGGCTCAGAGGGCAACTTAACAACATGAATAAATACTTGAAAGGGCGTTTTTTCCCTTTCTTGAAGACGCTTTCCCAGAAGTGCTGCCAGCATCATTGCTGGGCTCAGCTGTGGCTGTACTGGGGTCTGCTGGAGCTGACCTGTTCCCCTGGGGCAGAGGCCAGCACCTTGCCAGGGACAGCCTCTGCAGAGAGCTTTACTGGTGAGGGCAGGATCATTACCTTACCTGTAGAAGAGCAGGCAGGTGTGTAGAACAAAGGAATTTGATGCAAAAACTACTTGCAGATGGGCTGGCTTTATTGAAATGTGGGTAATATACATGGGGATCTGATCAGAGAAAGAAATGTACCTTGGCAAGTTCAAAACCTATTTTTGCTTGCTACTTTCTAAAGGTATGGTACTGGATGCACTGCAGATTTCTAATACAGTGGCAGGATTAAGGTTTTAATAATGGTGCAGCCAAACATAAAATATTGGACTAACCACATTACTGATCTTGTTGATACCTTGATCCCCGTTTGGTCCCCATGTGTAGCCTGATCTAGTTGAAAGGCATCCCTGCCCATGACAGGGAGGTTGGATTAAATGATCTCTAAGGTCTCTTCCATCCTAGGCCATTCTATGGTTGATTCCTGGTATTTTCTTTCCCTTCCTCTCTTTGTAAACAGAGTGGCTTGAAGCCTTCATTTGCCAGTAGGACAACTTATTTTCTAATGAACTCCATTCCACTCGCTTCTTCTAGGGGTGGCTTTTGTCCAGACACGGCTATATCAGAACCAAGTATGGGGCTTTGGGAAATGTATTTACTTTGCACAAACTATCTACAGAGGGAGCACAGACAAAATAATGATGCTTCTTGTTCAGCCTTTCCCCCTCACCCCTGTCTTTTGCAGACAGGAAAGTCCTGTCACTTGAAACTGTCTTCTTTTATGCAGGCATGCAGCTGGTCATGTACTCGGTGAAGGAAGCTCTCCAGGGCAGGCCTCGCTGGCTTCGGGTGGGCCATGATATCTGCTACTACAAGTAAGTGCATTATTGGTGAACAATTTGTGGCTTCCTTTCCCCTCTGTTCCCCTCCTGTTAACAGTATTGATGTTGTTTAACCTTTGACCACCCGTGCCGCTTGTTTCAAATGTCTCTAAATTGGTGCTGGTCAATGTGTTTATGTGCTTCCACCTCCAGAAAACAAGCAAGATCTCTGTATCAGATGTCTGGGGAGAAACAGGGCATGCACACAATTTAGATCCCCAGGAGGAAGAAGGAGGAAAGGGAATGGGGAGTGCTCAAACCTTGCTGATGCAGCCAGGAATACAAGGAAGCTTAACTCACAGTGTGGTTGCTTTTTTTTTCCCCCTGTCTAGAAAGAAATGAGCTGGATGGGATAGGTATTTTTTTTCTTTTGCATACACTGACTTTTCTAAGAGATGTAGGAAGTGAGGAGCTAAAGAAAGGGGGTATATATGTATATACACTATATACATCTATATAAATATGTGTAGAAATAGGTGTATACAAACACACATTTATTTATTTGTGAATCCAGCGCTATACCTTAGTGTCTTCATGAGCTTTCCCACTCTGTAAAGCTGGAACTCAAACCCTAGAAGGCAAACTGTTCTGTGGATCATGCTTAATGGCACAATATAGACCCTGTCCTGACAGCAGAAACAGTAAGATTAGCCTTACTCGCTGGCCTACGGGAACTTTTGTCTTTCTGCTGGGGCCAGGCAATAGGGCTTGGGCTACATAATGACTGCAGATGGGCAGGGAAATAAAACAGAAAGGTGTTTTCACAGTAATAGTGATAATTATCTGCTATGGTAAGTAGTGCTGTCAGGACAGAGCTAAACTTCTCTGATGTTCTAAATGGTACTCTTTCCTTCATAAACTCATGGGATGAGGCTGGTTTTAGAAACTGATGTGAAATAACAGGCTTTGTATTTGTGTTGTAGTTCACAGTTTTGCTGTTAGGTTCACAGGTGGCAATGTTCACAAGCACATTTGATGGGATAGTCAGCCCAATGAGAGTGGGCTGCCTTTCAGAACTAGCAGAGCCTCAAACTTGCGTTGACACAACAAAAAAAAACCCCACACCACCAAAAAAAAATCCCAAGTAATCAAAAAAACCTCTGCTGTAATCTGTTTTCTTTGGGGGGGGGAGGAGCATTGGGGGTAGGTGTGCTGGGCCAAAGGCTCAGATTATCGTCTCTCCACCTGGCATTCTGTCTGTCGCAATTTGAGTAGCTATTTCATCTTGTTCCAAGTACTCTTCACTAAGTTTTATTCACCTAACCTTTTCTCCCCCAAGAGCTAACACACTGTGGTGCAGTGGCTTCCCTTTGCATGCCCATAACCTCTGGCTTCTATGGGTATTGGCTTCTGGTTGGGCGAACTTTATGCACTGACTAAAGTAACAGGGGCTTCTCATGTCATTAACAAGGCAATAATTGTGCAGCGATTAAACCACAGCTGAATTCCAAGATTAAGCCATGATTGTACAATTAAGCTTGTAATCAGATTCTTGTTCAGAATACGTGACAGAACGGAACATTATTGATTTGGAATAGTCTGTGTTTTCTAACTGTGCATTGAGCTATATGTAAACATACTCATCTAGGTAACTACTTGTTGTCTGTCTCATTTATTGTTTATTCCAGGTTTACATGGTTTTGTACATATAAGAAAGCGTGCGCACACACATATGTGCACTGTCACCTCTACTGAAACTCTTTTTACTTCAGTGCTTATGAAAGAGATTCACAGTCACAAGAAGTTGTAGGTGGGAGAGAACATAAAGTATATTTGGGATAGCTCAGACAAGAGGAGGTGGGATTGCTATAGTGATATTATTCTGTCTGTGTTTTGGGGATAGAGGTCACTTCACTTCTGTTCACCTGTGTCACAGGTATCCTGGAGTGGAACTGGCGCATTTTGAAAGGAACCTCATCTGATTACTTTTACCAGGTTATTCATAAATATGGGAAAATAATGATATAAAAATAAGGAGGAACTCGAAGATACACTGTTAATTGCTTGTGCAGCAGGGCTCTTATTGAGAGCAACCCCTGAGGTGAAGGACAGTGGGGGAGGAAAGGCACATTTGCAAGATATCTGGGTGATGTACATTGGCTGATCTTTGCTGACATTCATCTTCACTGAAGATGGGATAGTTCACTCATAAAGATGAATGTTGTGGCACAGCTCTGTCATCCTGTACTTTTCCCATATGTCTCACGAGGGTTTTTACGTTACAGAGAACGTTAGCAGTGCTCTTGTCAAAAGGGAGCTGAGTGACACTTCTGCTCTATTTTATTGCCTCTCTGAAGTGACAGGATACACCCATGATAAACAGAATTGCAGTTACTGTAAGATCATCTAATTCGCTTGCTGTCTTGGCAGCTTTTATGCACTGAATAATATTACTTTCTGGCAAATTATTTAAGGAACAATGGCAGCATGCTGAATTGGGGACAATGTGCTTATGCCTTTGGGTTTGTAGCTCATTCTAAGCATATTATCTAACCTCCAGCTTTTTCAGACAATAGTCAGTTCACAGATGGTAATGAAGTACATGGAGTGCTTTGTTCTTGGATCACCACTTAAGACTTGGCTGTTTGGTGATCATAGCAGTGTCAGAACTAGGTCTTCTCTTTTCTCTTCTGTATCTTTATTAATCACATTAGATGAAATCATCATCATAGCATTAGCAGCCTACCTCTCAGTTCTAATGGTATTTACATGAGGAGGCTGAGACACCAGTCTGAGTCTGAGAGTGGCTCACCTTTACAATACGACTGAAGGCCTTAATAGCAAGATGGCTGTAGGAATATTCTGCTTCATCTGGGATTCTGCCTGCAATTTTGACAATGAAGCTGCCTTAGTGTGGATTTGGCCCTTGAAAAGGAAATTGTGTTGTGCATTTTCCAGTTTCCAGTGTGGCAGACCCCAGAATAACAGCCATGCCCCATAAATTGTTCAACACTCCTTTTTTGTTGTATGAACCAGGCTGTTACTAAAGCGTATTGCATTTAGCAGCCACACTGAGTGATGCAAGAAGGTCAGGGCATGTAAAATTAGGACACCGGATACCAGCTAGTAGAAAGATTTTGGACAAAGGGAATGCATCAGCATTTATTTTGCATTTGGATTCAATTTTGAAATGGCCTAGAAATGTAGGGTATTGATATTTTCTTTTGCCATTTTAGTCTAAGCTGATACAATGTCATATATCCATATATACCAGTGCTTTTTACTACATCAAATGTTTCAGACAAATCTAAAGATGAGATGACCATGACATGTTCTTGTAGTCACTTGGTGCTTTTGAATTCCTGAGTCACAAGCAAGCTCCTTTACAGACCTGCCTGTATCTTTGGCAAAGTGGCTTCACCTGTCTGTGTGTTTCCCCATATATAAGGACAGAAAATTAGAGTCAGTTATCTGCCATGCAAAAAGTAGGAATAGATAAACGGGAAGGAAGTTTTAATTAGATAATCCTCGCAAAGGTCTTTAAAGCTCAAAAAAATAATGTGCAAAGTAAGTGATAAGTAGTATTGTAATTAATAATAAATTAACTTTCCATCAAAGCTATACTAGAAACATACTACCTGTACGTTACTTCTGAAGGAGAGCAGTAAGCAAAATGATTTTACTATTAGAATGACTGAAAGGCACAGTAGATAGAGCTTGCATGCTGATTAAAAAAACCACACACCTTGGTCTCTAATTTTCTTTCTAATAATTGGCCTATTAGTTTCTAGAGCACAGGTGAGACTTTGAACATTTTTTTGAAAGGGAACACAAATACGATAGTAATAAGGACCAGATGCATCCTGGGGTCTTTCTTTTCTTTTTTTTTTTTTTCTTCTCTGCTTATTGATTTGGGCTTCATGGTAGTATGGTTAGAAAAACAGACGAGGAAGAAAAACTGTTAATCTGCTGGAGGAATGAAGAGGCCATAGAACCATCTTGGGGTGACAGCATTAGAAAGAGAGGGAGGCAAAGAGAAAAAATGCTCTTTTTTAGGTTTCTTTTAAAAAGATTCAGAGCTACTGCATTGTACAATGGATTGTGAGGAGACTTGATTGTATGCAGTAAGAATTGCACAATCATTCACGCTGCTTACACACACATGGCTTTTCTTTTTCATGAATGAGTGAGGAATGTTGAAGCCTCACAAAGCCACCTGCAAACTTCCCGTTACTACCAGGTAGTTTGATATAGATTGAAGCAGGTGTCAAGAATACTTGTTTGGGGCAGGTAGTTTGCTGGAACAGCAAAGGGGCTCAGAACAAGAGCACTGCGATCATGCTCTTGAGTATTGTCATGATGAGACCTGAGCACTGTCAAGAGTAAGGACCATTGACTGCCATCAAGGTCAAAAGTGTCTGATGCTGTGAAATCTCTAGGTTAAGCAGCAGGTTTTTGGCTGCAGTATCTGCCTGCAAAGTCCTGCTTCCTCTCTCACCTCTAACTACAAATGTGGTTTTGGGGAGGAGGGCTCAGATCTCAGCACTTTGAGACAATTCTTTATGAATAAGGTCAGCTAACCTTCCCAATGTCACTAAACATAATAATGGAGATGAGTACTTTCCTTACGCACCGTACGAGAAACGATTCTTAATTATACTTCACTGTCAAAATTAACAGAAACTAGATTAAATGTAATTATTCTGACTTAAAAAAAAATAAAAGAACACCTCAAATCCTGGATCCACTCAAATACATATATAGTAGCTAAGCAGATGTTTCTATGTTTGTGGGTTCATTGCACATTTTTTCTCAGAGTCTCTTTGTCCAATATTAAGGTGGTTTGCAGAAGAAATGTTGGGGTGAAGGGTTCAGCTGAGAATAAAATCATAGTCTCTTCAGTCTGCCTCTGTGGCACAATCTTCCTGTACTATCTATTGATCTCAGTCAGCATCACTCACCCTACATGTTCCGAACTATTAAATTTCAGTGAAACCCCAGCAGCATTGTATTGTGTCTTCCTTATGAAAAAGAGCTGATGATTTTGGAGAATTTGACAAGAATAATTATCTTTTCTCTCCACTCCTTTGAATAAAAATGAACCGCAGCAAAATAAACTAGTATTGTAAATTTCAGGAGCTGAAATTGCATCTTTTGGTTGCTTTTTCTATTTTACATTTTAATGCAACATTGATGATAACATTTGTCAAAGAAATCTCACAGTCCTTCAGCATCAGAAGGTTCAGCAACAGCGTAATTGGTGCAATGGGGGAAAAATGTGTTTGAAATGTACTTATGGATGCGATTTGCTTTGAGCCTTCTCCCAAAAGTGCATGAATTGTCTCTTCATCTCTGCTAAAAGAAAACTTTCATACTGAGCCTGAAGTCATCTCTTTATCAGAGTAAGTCTGCAAGTGACCTGGTCCTGGAAATAGATTGAGGAGCTCACTTTAAGGTTTTGTAGTTTTTAATGGAGTGTCAAAGCCTTGAGTACCCTAGTAGACCTTGATGACCCTGAGCAGCTCCACCCAGGGCCTCCACCCACACCCTCTGCCCACGGCCTTGGGAGCTTCTAACAGTGAAATTGCACTGAAGCTCCAGCTTGGTCACTGCTCTGTCTGTGCTTTGCTATCTGGTGATCGGGATCCTGACCCTCAGCCTGACCTCCTGGCTTGACCCAGACCAGCCTCATCACCACAAACTTGGCTGTTGCCATGTGGCTGAACCCATCTGCCATGGTCATGTCCTGCTTGGGTGCTCTGGGAGGAAACCCTGGCTGGTGAGGCCTCTGCCCTGCTGGCTTCCACACCAAGCTCAGCTCCCCATCTTTTAGGAAGCAGCTGGTCCTCACTGCTCCCTGACAGTGAAAAGCTTCAAATAGGAGAGATCTAAAAGAGAGGATATTTTGGGTAGCTCAGAACTTGCAAATCTGTATGAGGTCACCTCTTGTTTGTGTCTCTACCCAAGCCCATTCTTCTTCCTTTTAAGCAAAAAGCCTTTGATATTTAAAATGTTTTCATGTACGTCCTACTTGTTTACTTTTTTATTAATTCTGGAATATTCCTCTTCTTCCTGTGGTGTAACTAACTCTTTGGTTTGGTAAGGTATTCACATTTTCTAAATCTCCAGGCTTTCACAGAATATTTTCGTATGGCATTGTTCAGGGCTGTGAATAGGTTCCTGTATCTCTGAGCGAGATAATTTGGATGTCAGAAGCAATGCAGCAGCATTAGCTGAATGCCTTATTTTAAATACATCTGGACTGTACTATATGAGCTAGTATTGAATGATTTCTTTCTTTTTTGCACCTTCACAAAATAAAACAACCTTATTTTCCTACTAGAATGCTACCATCCTTCAGCAGCACCAGACCAAGTGTGATGGGCTGTGGCCAATACTGCCACACAATTCTGGCTCTTAATTCCTTGCTGGCTTTTGTGTACTGTGTGAAGCCCAACACCCTGGAATCTGGTGTTTCACTGTAGTCCATGGTACTTACCATCCTGATCCTGTTGTATCTGTCTAGTGGAGCCATGGTTTTCTCTAAACTTCCTTCTTTTGCGTAGCCTGTAGGTGCATTGCTGTGTTACTGAGTGTTGTGTTTTATTTTTGTACCTTTCATTGCTGGGATTGAATTGATTGTACTTGCACGGGGCTTTCCCAGTCTTGGTACAATAATTGGTTGAGTTTGGAGACCATCTACAGCATAAGATGAAAGCTTATTCAGGGTGGACACTTCTCTGAATCCTTAGTTTTCTCATGGTTCCAAATGCACCTCTAGAAGCAAAAAACATTTACTTTCTCTGCTCTTTCTCTTCTTCCAGAAACCACTACCGCTGCAGTGCAGCTGCAGGACAAGGTGCGAGAGGAAAATTCTACTACACACTCACCTTCAACATCAAGTTCCCTCACAAAGATGATGTCTGCTACCTGTCCTACCATTACCCCTATACCTACTCTACAATGATGGTAATGCTGACATAATCCACCTAGATAAGCTCATGGGCCTGACAGGCTGGAGTTGATGGATGCTTGTAGATTTTGAGATATTGCAGAGGACCATTTTCACAGGCAGTTAATGATCATGATGCTGTCATTGCCTTGTTTGCAACTGCAGCCCCTGCCAGCTCTGAAGCCCAGAATGCTATGGGAAAGAAGAAATTTCTGTATGGGATAAGCTGAAGTACAGCTTAACTACTAATTTTGCTTCCTGAGGAAGGATTTGTTTTCTGTAGCCTTTTCTGGCTAGGGTAGGTGGTAAGGGTGTTTTCTGGGAAATGCACCCAGTATGCTTTCTTTACAGTAGATGTAGGAGAGGCCAAGGTCTGAAAGGAAGGTAAGATAAAAGAAGGGAAATGAATAGTTCTGGGAGATGAGAGAGATGTTCCTGAAAACAAAGACATGTAGTTCCAGTAGAGACTTTCCCCTTCCTTGTCCCTTTAATTTCTATTGTCATCTGTTTTTCTTCTAGCCAATAAATGCTAGTGTGGTGAAGTTTGGTTTTTATAATGGTTTCAGTTTTCAAGGGAGACCTTGAAAGTGTAGTTCTCTCCTACTTGCTAGCCACGCTGCTTGGCATGCCACATAGTTTGGCTTAGATTAATTCCCACCCAAACAACAGTCTCTTGTCAACTGCTTTGCATCCCATTATAGATGTTCAAAGAAAGTGCTTCCAGTATCTGGGAGAGGGCCAGTCAAGCCTTCACAGTTCAAAATACACCTGGCAACTCACTTCTCATTAGGCTTATGGGTACCAGTTACTCCTCAAAATCAGTAAAGAAGAGAGTCTGCTCCAGTAGTGGGGTTTGACCTATAGCCTTGAAGGCATGTATGTACTACAGTCTTCAGGGGAAAAGACAAATGCAATACTGAAGAATTAGGTGGACTTATCTGCCACCCTATTTTATTCCTGAAATGCAGTGCTTCATCATTATTTTACTGTTATTGATTTCTATCTTGTGCTGGAACAAAAGCAAGAGAGACTTGGAGAGTTTGTATGCTCTGGGAATCCCTGAATATCTCACCTGCTCCTGAATGAATAGAATAGAAATGAAAAAAAGATGTTATTCGTGCACTTGCAGGGCCAAGTCTTGAAGTATCTCACTGCCTCTTCAAATAAAATGCTCATTGAAGTTAAAGGGAATTCTGCCACATGAAAATTTTACATGAATTCAGGTTCAGAAATGACCATAGAATTTGGTAAATGGGAATTATGGATGGAAAAGATTGATGGATTGTCATGTCCAGCTCTTTAACCAAAGCAAAATTGTTGCCTCTAATAATTCTAAAATGCTTTTTTGCTTGGACTGATTTAAAATGTCAAGTGATGCAATTTACATATTTCCATGTTACTTTAATTGCCACAGTAAATAAAATAAATCAGATTGGTGCACTAGTATATTTAATTTTAAAGCATTTGTCCACTGGTGAAGTATGTTAGTTTTACATATCAGTAATAAATTAAAAAAGATTATGAACCCAAGGGCTCAATTAAATACATAGTGCTTTGGGGAAGAAGATAAACTTGTATATGGAGTTAGTAATCTGAAAATGTTTTAAAATATCATATATATCAAATATATCATATATATTTAATAGTTACAGGCATACTTACAGGAAATACACACTGCAGAATCCTATTTGAACTGGATGCACTCTGCAGTTCATTACTTTTTGTCCATTAGTAATTACATTTATTTTATGAACAGTAATTTATCTATTTTTGAATCACAGTGTTAATTGTTTGGATATCTAGCTGAAATCTCTGTGGCAGCTATATCCAATTAAGTTCCTGGGTACCAGGAACGTAAGTAAATTATTATATTGAGTTCTCCCTATCTGTGCAAGATCGTTAGATGCGTCTAATAATTGAATTTGCTTTATAGAGCAGTATGTTAATTGTTTTATGACATAAATGACTGTAAGTTTCAGTTCTGTGTTTGCATTCAGACAGATACTAGGAAAGCAGTCTGAAAGATGGCGAGTTGCAAGTTTTGAGGAACAGGATTATCTTGTCCCATAAATACTGGTTAAAGTTTAGCCCTAACTTGCAAAGACAGGAAGTTACCATGTAAGGGTCGATCAGTGAATTGGTGTGTTTTAGTTAAAGTACTGTTAGGACAAATATGTGTACTGCCCTATACCTCTTTCTACCAATGGAGAGACAACTCCTGTTCCACACCACTTAGCAACTCCCTGCAGGGGGATTACTTACACCAATCCCGCCACTTGCAATTACAATGTAAACAGAGAGAACTACACGTCATCTGGTGTGTGGGTGACAAGCGGCTCTGTGTCTAATGAAGCGATCAGAATTTGTTCCAAAAAGTAATTTTTAAGCTGCCAATTCTTTTTCTCAAATTTCTCAGGAAGCTGTTGGACTTAAGAATTGTCTAAAACTCTCACAAACTTTGCAGAGCCGGGATTGGGGGCAATTACAATGTAAACAGAGAGAACTACACGTCATCTGGTGTGTGGGTGACAAGCGGCTCTGTGTCTAATGAAGCGATCAGAATTTGTTCCAAAAAGTAATTTTTAAGCTGCCAATTCTTTTTCTCAAATTTCTCAGGAAGCTGTTGGACTTAAGAATTGTCTAAAACTCTCACAAACTTTGCAGAGCCGGGATTGGGGGGGGGTGTGGGGGTGTGGGAAGAAAATCTCCTTTTAAAATAAATTCTTGGAAAGATGCTCGTCAAATTTCCCACTACTGATTGCACAAGATCTTGTCTGGATGTGAACTTCTTGGCTGCCTCTCATGTGGAGTTGCTTCTGAGTTTCACTGGTGTGTGCTTGGCAGCTACGCAGTCAGTTCTATAAACGCTCAAAAATGGTGAATTTTCTCACGTTTCTACACAGTCCCTATTAAAATATAAGGAGTAGGCAGTTCTTCTGCATTTCCCATATGTACGGATATTCCTTCATATTAATAAGAAAAGCACCTGGGAACTGATAAGGTAAAACCATGGAATGTTTGGGCCTTTAGAGGTTACCTAGTCCAACTCTCCTGCAAAGAGCAGGGACATCTTCAACTAGATCGTGATATAAGAGTAAATAGTCCTGTGCAGTTTCAGTGAACTGGGGTGTATTCTGAATGGCTTGTGTATGTCTGTGGGAAGTGAAAGGTGATGATGTTAACCAGCAGAAGAGAGAAGCTGAGAAGATAGCAAGAGATAAGAGTAGAACCAATAATAACATGCAGCTAGGAATAAAATCTGATTTTATATGCGATGAACTCATTTATAAATCTGCTTCCTCCCTTCTTTCTCAGTCCCATCTTGATATCCTGCAACAAAACAGGAACCCCAAGAAGGTTTACTGGAGGCAGCAGACACTCTGCCAGACTCTAGGAGGAAATCGATGCCCTTTGCTCACAATCACTGCCATGCCAGAATCTAAAAAAAGAGATGACTTGGAGCAATTCTGTAAGTAGCCAAACAAAGCTTTAAAAAAGTTGCTGGACAGGTGTGGTCATGTCAAACGTTTTTTGTGACTATTTTGATTTTTTTTTTCCTTTCTCATTTTGTAAAAAGAAATCTAAATATGAAGAATAGCTAATTACAATGCTTTTTTTAAAAAAAATAAATTGCAGACTTGCATGGAGGAGGGAGGAAAGCCGACAACATTTTGTACTTCAAACTTTTCTTTGATGATCTGAAACAATTTATAAAATTAAATATTAACTAGCCCCAACAGCAAGAAACTGCATTTGAGTAACCAATTCAATGAGAACTTTGTGTGTGTATGTTGATGTTCCATATTGAAATGATTTGTATATTTTGAGGTCTCAAAATTGGTGGGGAAAAAAAAAAGAAAGTACAAGATCATTCCTTCCCAGTTGTGGACAGCAACTGGAGTGTTCTGCTGAAATTTAGGTCCTTCAATTTGCCCAGTAGATTCATCTGGTCACAGCAGATCTCCTTGCATTCTGAGTCCTAACTGACAGTGTTCTGTCTAATGTCTAAATATTAAAACTGCCATGTTATATAGAGAGGTGAAAGTCAAAGATTTAAACCTTCAGTGGCCTTGATTAACAAGATTAAGATACAGAAGTTTCTATACTCAACAGCAAGTGATAAGAGGAGTCTTGTTAGCATCACATTGGGTTAGCTTTGATCTGAGAGCCTAAATGACTAACTACATATAAGTAGGTTGACTTTTATTCTTGAGTCAGTAACAAGGCACAAACTCATTTTTTTTTAATCTCTGCTCTTCAAACATTTAAAGTACAGGAGTCTGGAAATTTGAATTGCCTTAAGATCTTTTTGGATTTTAAGCAAATATATATCATTATCTCACCAAGGTTAGGCTAGAAGTATCCAAAGGGATTCTGTGATATGAACCACATCCACATTTCTCATTGCAGAATTCTCCTCTCAGTGGTATGTGGTGATATGTGAGTAGGACACATTATAACGTCCCTGCTACATGCATAAACTAAAAGGAAGCTCAAATATCAGAGTTGGTGAAAATTATTGCTATCTTTCCTGGTTCAGGTTTAGAGCATAGCAACTGTAGTTATGCTGACATTACAGTGTAATCATCCTTAGTTCATACCTTTTTATTATAATAATTTTGTTATAAATTGAGCATTTACCCTGAATTAGAAATATTCTGGGTATGAATGTGCTTTTCTAGGTTGAAATCTTAAAGCAAAATTGCCAAGCACAGACTACATGGGAATTCATAAGGGGTGTGCATGTACACAGATTTAATGGTAGAAACTGGAGGCAGTGTCAAAGAGAAAACTGGATTGTTGGTGTTGCTATTATTAGCATTATTTACACAACAGTAGCACATACAACACATGATTAGGGGGTTTGGCTGTGGTGGGTGCTGTCCATGCTTGACATGATGAGACAATTCCTGCCCTTAAGCACTTTTGTTCCATGATAATGATGATATATAACAGAAAACCAGTGTGTGGGAGCTGTAGTTGGGGAGGTTGCTTATATAAAGAAGCCTTTGGCGCACTGCTGATGATCACCTGGTTAGATGTTAGCTGTTGACAACAGTTTTTAAACTTCATGGCAGAAGGGGCAACTGAAAGAAAGCTGGAATATTTTTATTTGAGGATTGGAGCTATTCAGAAAAGACATGCAGTGAACAAGTGTTTCTGCCCAATGAAAGTACAAGGCAAAAGCTAAGCTCATGCTTGGATTTATCAAACCAAGGACTTGGAGTGGGTCAGGCACATGATGAGTGAATGTGCTAAACACTGAATTTCAGCACTTGTGGCTTTGAAAGGACTTTCTGAAAGGTGTGTTTTGTCCTAGGAAAGAAAAAAACACACAACGCAACCAATTTTATAAAATCTCCACCATTTTTGTAAAGCAGTCTTGCTTTCTGACCAACACCACAACATGCCAAGGGCTGCAGTCATACATGCACAGTGATCAGGATTAAAATATCTGAAAAAAAATCAAAAATGTGTACCAATAGAACTAAAGCAGGAATAATTAAGAATGTTTTCACTTTTGGCACAAGAAACAAGATTATTGTGCCAGGTGGGGTACAGCGTGAGAGAACAGAGGGTCTCTGTGGATGGAGGACTGACAGCCTATATTCAAGGCAATGGAGAGGCACAGATGCTGAAATGAGCATCACGAGGAAATGACAACACAGTACCAACCAGCACAATTACACCTCAAGAGTCACACTGCTTTTAGGGAGTATCATGATATAAATGTGACAGTATCAGGAGGTATTGTCATTTTCTGGAGCACAGTATTCTCAGAGTGTATCAGAATGCCTCTTGTACCATTAAAAGAGAGTCTGGCAGGCTTTCAAAGGTGGTTAACCTGTCTGGGAAGACAAGGCTTGGCTTACTTATTCAGCAAAGACTCCCTGAAAGATTCATAAAGCATCTATGAACAGTTCAGACAGACAGTTGTTTCGAATGCTTCAGGCTGTTGTAATAGTCAGTGTCTGAGTTCAAATCCCAATTATGTGCCTGATGTACTCTCTATTTTCAAGAGAAGGAAATATCCCCTGATTTGCAATACTATGTGAATTCAGCAGGAGCTTGTAGTTCTGCCTGAAATGCCTTGAAATCATGTGCCACTAAACAACTCTTCCTCTGAAATTTTGCAATGCGGTAAGGTTGTGGATAACTTCCTAGATCTATCCATGAGCAAACTGAACTCCGTCAAAACAGAGTATGTAAAAAGTCCAGTTGTCTGAACTGAAATAGAACTTGTTTAGGGGAAAGACATTGTTGAGGGAAGGCAACACAGTTTCTCTCAGGTTTCCAGGACTATAAAAGTAAACACCAATACTCTTAGGTGATGAAAATATTTGTTGTTTTATCAAGTGGGAGCACAGCAAGGCAGCACACCATGTGTTTTATGCTGTGGGGATGCCTCTAGGCAAATATGAATAATCACGTATGTGCTTGTTTTGTTTAAGCAGCTTGGATAATTATGGCTTTGGGGGACTCAGACTAATTTGTGCTGCTTTGTGTGTCTTTGATCAGCAGTTACTTCTCAGTTTCCTCGTCTTGTATGACATGCCCTTCTCTCTGTGAAGTGTTTTGACTGATGGAAAGACTTATTTGTCAATATTTTCCATATGAAAAACATAACTCAAAAGCAACAACTTGGAGCTAAATATGAAAGGACCAAAGGGTGGAGGTTTTCCCACTTATAACTCCCATTTGCTTGTACAGTCTTCATGCATACCTGTTTCAGCTTGAAAAGCGATGTGGAGCTCCAGCACTGGGGAACTTGGCACATGGGTAATGAATAAAAATAGACAGTTCTTGTTTTGCCTTCTGGTTCTGGCAAATTCATAGTTTTCATGGGTTATAGTAATTATGCTTTCCTATCAAATTTGTTATTTCTCTCTTTTTTGTGCATTTGTTAATCTGTACCTTGAAAGATTCTTTTCGGTAACACCAGTGGCACGGGTAAAACACAAAGCTCATCTGGAGTTTATAGCTGTTGTACATGACCGTGCTTAAATACTCTAAATCCTTCTATATTATAGACACATGGTGAGTACAAAGCATCACTGATGAAGAGGCAGTGGGTGGGTGAGGGGTGTTGGGAGCACAGTGTGATGAGCCGAGTGCAGTGGGAAGGAGTTACTGCTACACCAGAGGTGCTGATGGCATGGGAGCGGCCCAGGGACAAGGAGGACATGGCATTCTCTGTGTCAGCTGTGCTTTATTTTCCTTACTCAACTCTTTCAGATTGCTCTTGTCAGGATTTTGATTAATATGGCCCTAGGATGGTTAAATTTGTCTGAGTTAAATTTATTAATGCACGCCTTGTTAATAGGAAGCACAAGCCATGCACGCTCGCAGGCACTGCACATTCACCTCGTACTGAAGGGAAGAAAAATGGGCTGCTGTTTTCCTTCATTACGCCTTGTTTATGTGAGGCTTTGATATTCACTTTAGGCTCCTTTCTCCTTTCCCTATCTCCCCATTCTGTGGTGGTGGTGTACTTACTAATTTTTATTAAATGCTCAGTTCTGAAACTGATACGAAGAAAGAAAGAAAGAAGTGAGCCCAGACCATTTTGGCCCCTTGTGCTTTTCATCTTGGTCATGCAACAGGTCAGTTACAAACAGCACAACGAGCATCCGTGCTTGATCACTGTCTGTGGGTGCCTGTCTGAGGCTGGTCAGTGGTCCCTGCTGGGCTTTGCAACTCCATAGACTTGTACTGGAGGGGTCTCTCTTGGTTTTGGTTCCTGTTTTATTTTAGACTTGCTCTTCCTGTCCTTGTATTAAGACTGAGCATCCAGCAAGCAGGGATGTCTTTGCTACTCATTTTAAGTGCAATATCCCCCATAGTCTTGTGATTAAGATGAAGCCATCAGTCTCCCACTCTGACTGTAGGAAGCACCAATGATGAGACAAAGGGTCTGGTTTTTTTGTCTTTCTTATCTCTTTACCATGTTCTCTTTCCCATTCTCACAAAGAGTTAGACTCTGCAGATTTCACCTTCCATACTATGCACAGAGCTTTTCCTCAGAAGAGTGTAGCTCTTCTCAGCCTTATTTAACCTCCCCATCCGCCCAAAAAAAAGAGACTGTTTTCTGCAAGCTTGCATGTGTGGTGAGCCTGCATGCTTCACCTGCCTTGGATATTGAATAATCACATGTGAGCCTTTGAAAAGGAAAGAAGTTGGGGAGTGGAGAGCAAAGAATAGTTGGGCAGGGATTTACTTGTTGGTGACTTTCTTCCTGGCTATGCTATATATAGTCATGGACATTGCCTGATGAGAGTTAAAGGGACTTTTGAAGGGAGAGAAATTCTCAACAACTTTTAGGACATTCTCAAGCGAATGCAGAAACAGTGAGAATGATAAAGCTTCTGATCTGGGTGCCAACTCCTTGCTCAATGAAGTTAATAGGTGCTTGCAGAGCTCTGATTTTCTTGGGTTTGCCACACACAGCCCAGTGAAGGCAGTGTTAAC